AAAAAGAGAAAGATAGAGGTGATGAAGAATCCAAAGGATTAAGATATTAGAGAATGCAAAGAATGAATGCACCTGTGCCATTTCAAACGGTTTTGAGCAATGTCACGCAGGGTCTCTAATCATCGATTTTTATCATCTCGCTGACCCCAACCAGGTAGGCGACACCTATTAATATGACTCAGTCCACTTGTCAATGACTGCATGGATTTCTGCCATGTTTTGGTCTGGCCGCCCCTAGCTTTCGTCCAACAACCTATTCTTAGATCGCAAAACATAGTTCGATCAGGAAGTTGGTGTTTAGGCATGCGCGACACATGTCCAGACCACATAAACTGATGAAGTCTCAATACTTCATCTATTGACCTTTCATCCTTACCTAATACCCGATTCTTAACAACAGCATTGCTTACTAGGCTGTCTCACGATTCACGAGCAATGCTTCGGAGATACCCAGTATTGAAAACCAGTAACTTGCGAATATCTTCTACTCTGACGACATGTTTTTACAGTCATAAAGTATGACGGAACGAACTACTGAACAGTACACTAGTCCTGTAGTCAGCAAACGGATATCCCGTACACACTTAAAACTGACCAAAAGAATATTTCAGTGACTTCGTTTTATCCCATGAATATTATCATAGTGTGACAAAAATCATAAAATCATCAGTTAGTCATATGCAACTCATAACTTCATACATATGTACATTGGTTTAAGATGACAGATCACATTTGAACAGCGTGATAAAGTTATAAAGAGAAAAAAAGGGTAGTATTATTAAGGGTAACGGTGTCAGTAGTAATAGCAGTAGAAAAGATTGGGCATAGATTATATGATTCGCGAATAAATTTGAGCTATACCACTTGACAATTATCAAGCGTCTATGTATCGGTAACCGATCAAGGAAGGTACAATATGAATGAGCTATGTAGATATACATTTTGAGTTATATATGATACGCTTTAAACTAATAATCGTCATTTCTGTGTAATTTACAAATAATGCCATAAATTTAGTTAAGCTTGAAAGTTATTTTTTAGTGGTACGCAACAACTGATCAGTTGTACAGGTAAAAGTGAACTTACCGTTTGCCTTACAGGTAAAACGATGGTAATAGAATTGATGGATTAACAATAAGATTAAACATACGTCTAGTCCGAAAAACAAGGACTTGATATTGAAAGAATACTTGAACTAAAAACATTAGGCATACAAAATACAGATACGTTACCCTTGAATTACATGCAGTGATTCCTATTATCCAGTGTACCAGTAGAGTAACTATCATGTAGGCAGTTGAAGCGACCAGGAAAACGATGAACAAATGTTCATGAAGAGCTATAAACGTTTTTAGAAGAGCTAAGATAAAACATACGGTAGTTCTCTTGGTTAGATACAAAGGCCACTCCTACGAATGAACCTACATCTATGAGGTTCAGAAGAAATGCAACCAGAATCAGCAATTTAAAACGCAATGACTGGTTGAACATTTTGTGATAAGACATGTGGTATCGAAGATATATAAACGCAAGGAGTAGACGTGGTGCACTATGTAGCCCAACTGAGTAGCGCCATAAATATATTTGAGGTTTAATCCCAGTAACAGCACTGATAGATGGAACAAAATTGGATACCTATAACGTGACTCTACAACAACCAATTACCCCACACACCGACTCCGTAACTTCATCAAAGGTGTTGTATGTCGATATAAGGAAGCAAATAATTAGACCGAACAAGGGCAGTGATACACCAACCACTACAAATAAGGGGAAAGGGATCCAAAGCAACCTGGACAACCCTTTATTTCCACAACAAGCCATAGCAGGTGAAGCCTCCCCTTACCTGCAACGCAGACCCCAAATCTCGCGGATCCAATACGTTCAATATCCAATATCTGTTTCCTGAGCTAGTATAAACCGATTGATTTCTTTGAACTCGATTCTTGTTCTTTCGGTACAGTTGCAGGTATTTGGTTGTGTAAAATGGATGTGGTCCACTCGGCTAAACTAATTCTAGTTTGTTGGCAGTTATTTGTTTGTATGTCCTGTAATTTGAATATGTTTGCTTCAGGACAACAGGGTTTTTGGACACCCACAGCTACCACGTTACCAGGGAGGTGACAAGTTAGTTGCAGTGCGGAGAATAATAAAGAGAGAATTTCGATGTTATTAAGAACAAGACTTCAGAACTAAGTAAGTAAATCATCAATTGAGTTTATTAATTGATAGTGAAGATTGTGCAAGAGGACTAGAGTGAAAAGCAAGAGAGAGGAAACAGAGATAATAGGCGAGATAGATTAAGATAAAGCTCTGAAGGAATAGCAATAATAACAACTAGCAGGTCTCAAGATATGTGTAGTGGATCTACTTTAATGAAGAGAACGCGGTTGGTTTAACAGAAACACTCATCATTATGACCTATCGTACCAGTGATTCTTTAATTGTGCTTTTTGCTTACAACACTCTTTACGCTTAAACTTTCTATTTGTGTTGCTGTCATTTTTCGCTCTACCAGCTCTGTAAACTCTCCCACTTTCCTGGCTCTATTTCGGTGTTCTTTTGACACGACGAAATCGCCGGCAAATATATTCTTTACCATAGATTTATTTATCTTCTCTGGGACGGGTTCATAATAAGTATTCAGTGGTGATCATAGTCAGACTTGACTCAATCGCCACTAAACATGCATCATGTACAGGTGCACGAGGGAGATGATAGTCGGTATGTGAGTACGTGTTTATTAGGTCCCTTCTGAAAACTATCCACTGAGGGCGGCTGAGGTCACCTGAGCTGAGAGAGCAACCAGATTTGCAACGATCGTGAGTTTCTGAGTCCAGGGTACAATAACTTTCAATGATCTGGTGACACTCTAAAATAGCTTAGTTTAGTTCTTTAGGCTTTCAGCGTGTTAGAAATTACAAACTCATGTCTCCACACGTCTAGCTGCTTCACTCTCTATCACTAGTTAAGTACTGATTGGAGGTAACCCTGAAGTAATACTTTGTATTTCGAGTGGAAGAATCGCACCCCGAATATTCATGTATTGTTGCTCAAGCTGGTCAGAAGACTGAATTTCTTCAGCTTCTTACCGAAACTGACTCCTACCTGCCTTTTGTCATGTCTCAAACAAGCTATATTGGTTAGAACGTATGTTGCCACCATGACAGGCCGGTCGATTGGTGAACGATAAGCATAAAAGAAGCATTTAAAAGTCTGAAGACGAAGTCGCACTTCTAGCTGCAGAGGGGTATAACGGCAGTAAGGCGTTTCCTTCGAAGAAACAGCGTCTGCGGTAACTACCGCCCTCATGCGAGTAAAAGCACATAAAATCAACTTCACTACCGATGGAATGCATAGTAGTTCACAAAGTCAACTACTCCATTACCGCTCGCTTTATTTAAGCATTGTTGCAGGATGAACTAGAATGAACTACGTTAACTATCCACTACTCTTCGCTTCAGCAGCTTTAACTGAAAACACGGAATGAAACGTAACGGAATATATCCCACTAAATCCGATAATTTCTAACATTCGACCGAACGTGCCTCGAGACAGACAATCATTCCACTGCTTCTATTCCACCAGACGAGTCGTCGACACATATTCGACTGCTTTATCTCAACTCATTTTTTTAAAGATTTCCTGGAAATGCAAGTTAGCGAAAAGTGTGAAGGGGGCGAACGATCAAAGTGAGAACAGCCTTGATTGCAATCTTCTCCAAGTTATTTGTTTACTGGCCTTGTCTACTATAGAGACGCAGAACAAACTCGGCTCAGGAGGGTGATTATGTCCCAACAAATGAGCAAAATTTATTACTTAATGTCATTG